TATTTTGATACACAAGTTTTTTTTTACAAATCCATAAAGAAACGAAAAATCCACGAAAATTCCGCATTGCCTAGTCAGGCACGAAACGAAAATATTTGTGCCGGGTGGGAACAAAACGAAAATATTTGTATCGGAGGGAGAAAATAAATACAATTTATAAGTAAATGACAAAACAATTTATGATGTAAAGTAAGGATATGAAGGCAAAAATCTAGGAAATTCCGCATCGCCACTTCAGACACAAAATGAAAATATTTGTGTCTGTTTGCTTACCAAAAGATATTTACCAATTACAGTCATGATCCAGGCCACTTCCATACTATGAAACTCCATATCCCTCAGCACTGAATAAAAAAAAATAACAGAAATAATTTTTATACACATTTTTTTATACACATTTCAATACACATTTTTTTGAAACACATTATTTTACATATTTCTCCTTTTACCACTTTCTGGACCCCTTACAAGAAATATTAGCCGACTAGAACCCATTTTTATACATATTTTCACATACAGTTTTATACAGTAATTTTGAAACTCTTAATTTTAAACATTTAAAAAACATTCTTTGACACCTTAAACACTGCGGCTGAGAGACCTGATTTTTTTATACCTTTTTATGATACCCATTTTTTATACATGTTTTTACGTTCAGAGTTCGGACCCTCAGCCAATTATACTGTGGCATAGAGACCAGATTTTTTATACCTTTTTATGATACCCATTTTTAATACATGTTTTTACGTTCAGAGTACGGACCTTCAGCCAATTATACTGCGGCTGAGAGACCAGATTTTTTTATACCTTTTTATGATACCCATTTTTTATACATGTTTTTACGTTCAGAGTTCGGACCCTCAGCCAATTATATTGTGGCTGAGAGACCAGATTTTTTATACCTTTTTATGATACCCATTTTTTATACATGTTTTTACGTTCAGTGTAGTCGGACCTTCAGCCAATTGTACTGTGGCTGAGAGACCAAATTTTTTATACCTTTTTATGATACCCATTTTTTATACATGTTTTTATGCTGAGTACGGACCCTCAGCCAATTATACTGTGGCTGAGAGACCAGATTTTTTTATACCTTTTTATGATACCCATTTTTTATACATGTTTTTAAGTTGAGAGTGCGGACCCTCAGCCAATTATACTGTGGCTGAGAGACCAGATTCTTTTATACCTTTTTATGATACCCATTTTTTATACATGTTTTTACGTTGAGTACGGACCCTCAGCCAATTATACTGTGGCTGAGAGACCAGATTTCTTTAAACCTTTTTATGATACCCATTTTTTATACATGTTTTTAAGTGGAGAGTACGGACCCTCAGCCAATTATACTGTGGCTGAGACACCAGATACATTTTAAAACCCTTTTATGATACCTTTTATGATACCCATTTCATACAAATTATTCATACAAATTATTCATACACATTTTTTAAACATTTTTTTTTGCACATCTATAAAAAAAACCTTTGACAATTAAGTTTAATAGGATTTCTCCTATAGAATTACCACTTTTTTCCACTCGTACTAGAAACTGTCGACTAGAAACAATTTTTATACCCATATTTTTACACAATTTTAATACCCATTTATATACACAATTTTTATACCCATTATTTATACCTAATCTTTTTACCATTTTTAAAACACATTTTCATACACAGTCTTATACACATTTTTTAAAACTCATTATTTTATATATTTAAAAAACCTTCTTTGACATGTTTACAGTTAAACTATTGTTTGCGATTTTTTCCACTCCTTTTTTTGCATTTAATACCCATTATGCATTTATTACCCATAGTGCCAAAATAGATATACCGAGCCCACCAGAAACATTTTTATATCCATTTTTTTATACCACTTTTCATACAAATTTTTTATACACATTTTTTAATATACATCCTTTTACATGTTTATAAATAAACCTGTTTGACATGCACAGAGTACATGTATTAATAATCAGAATGCGGCGGGAGAGTTTGTCAATAAACAATAAAAAAATAAACAAAAAACGCCCGTATGTTATGTCGCGCGAAGCTGGTCAAACTGGTCAATCGAGATAGTCAAATTCAACATCAACCATATTTCATCAATACGATAACTAGCAAGTCATGTGTGTGTGTGGGGGGGGGGGTAATGTCTCAATTATCAGGAGCAATTATGTATACAAATCATCAAAATAAAAATAAACAGGCATATATCAAAGGCATTCAATACATAGGCTAATGAAAAAATCAAATGACACTATAAAGTTGTAAAATATCAACACACCTGCACGCCATTTCTTCCATCTTCGCCGTGCAACTCTCCCTCCTAAAGAGGCTCTTCTTCTTCTTCTTTTTCTTCTTCTTCTTCCAGTACTGTACATACCTGAAAAAATCAAATGACACAAATATTAATACACCTGCAATATCAACAGAGAGAACGCCATTTTCCATCTTCACCGTGCGACGTTCCCTCCTAAACTGGTTTTTCTGTGCTCAAATGATCACGTGACCTGTAATGTGTGAAGCGGGAAAATTGTCCGGCTTTTTTCGCCGTACTTCGGTCAACAATAGATTAACTAAGTGTTCCAATCGCAACTACTCGGCCCTTTCCGTCAGTCTTCGGATAATATTATTATATTATTATAAATAATAGCCGAGGCAGTTCCGAATGTAAGTGTTCCTTTGTTAACATTGTATACACACCGGTCTCAAATATCAGTAAGACCGGTGTACACAATGCCTTTGTTAATATAAACATGTTGGGGTCGCAACTTTTCGGCCCTTTCCGTCAGTCTTCGGACACAATAAACCGGTCTAACCTACGCTAAGAAACTAAACATGTAAACAATTGGAGTTTTTGACAAGTTTATTCCCAATATATAAACTAAAAGTCCACAGCAAATAATAAATTTCACTCTTCACAGTCTGAACATAGTTACCGTGGCTAATTCCCGCCAATTAACTGAAAAAGGAAAAGAACAGCTTTGGCAAAATGAGAGTCGCATCATACTGTTAGTAAGCTGTACATTTAAATAGTATCAAAATCCATATTTATGGAGAAAACATCCGATAAGAATTGATCGAACTAAACATGCTTTCTCTATATACCGAACATGTATAATTATAACCGAATTGCAACTGAAAATGTCAGGTTTATAATTATGTATCTAGTCAAGACCTTTCATGAACCAAGCATATGAGCCGTGTCACGACAAATCCAACATAATGGGTTCGCGACCAGCATGGATCCAGACCAGCCTGCGCATCCGCGCAGTCTGATCAGGATCCATGCTATTCGCTATCAGTTTCTCTACTTGTTATAGGGTTTGTAAGCGAACAGCATGGACCCTGATCAGACTGTGCGGATGCGCAGGCTGGTCTGGATCCACGCTGGTTGCAAACCCATTATGTTGGTTTTGTCATGACGCGGCTCAATTATAAGCAACATAACATCGGATGCAAGACCCGGGCGGAGTACTGCTTAAAAGTTTTAAGCAAACACCACAAAGGTATTGTCAAACTTGTTTGACACTATAACACAGGAACAAGAAAAATCCATGCAGTGAAATCTGTTGGTGGTGACTATGAGCTGAGTACCCGAAACCTAAGTTGCTATTGTATTTTGAATGTTATACACGGAGCGGCAGTCCTAAACTGCAAGCCCTGTTTTAAAAAGAACTTATATAAACAAATAGAAAACCCAAACACACCAAGGACGAAAAACAATGTAGAACAACTGGTCATGCGGTCCTGTCTTGTATTTTCAGAAACACTCCAAAGAAACTGCATAACAAGATTCGTTCCGTTATTCTAGTTGTACACCTATATTAGTACTTTACCAAAAAATGTCATAAAATAAAAAAATATCTGTAAAAAGCAAAAGCATACAGTTCTTGAGTACTGGTTGTCTCGTGTTGGCCATAAATAATGCGTATAGGCTGGTGATTTTGTAATGAAGTTTGAATTTTGCACGGAAATCACGAAACTAGTGTGTACCAATCATTTCGTTCATTTAAATGTAATGGAATTAAATTGGTTTATTACCAAATTGCAGGTAACACTACTTTCAACAGTAAGTATGCTTTGAATTCAAGACGGCATTCTCATTATAAACCTACTGCCTATTCAAAATGTTTAAGATATTGAAGATGAACATAATAATTGAGTCCAAGCTAAGGTACAATCCAACACTGGATTTTCGAGTTTCTTAGTTGGGTTACGCAGTTATTTTCACTGCAATTGCTTGTTTTCTCTGATTTTATAGAATAAGATGAGGTTTTTTAAACGTTACAGTGAGCAGTGGGAAGTTGAGGAATATAATTATGCTGAATACGCTATTGTGCAGGCCGTTTTCTCCTGAGGAGCCAAAAGCTTCCTGGTCGGGCTTACTGAGAAACACTGAAAGGAAATTTGATTGTTTCCAAAACATGAAGAATGCCCGACTGTTTTTTTTAATCGTTAAAACAACGTAGCAACTAACAATAGTAACCCCAAACTGAAACACGTGTACTGTTATAGTATCTCAAACTGGAATACTGTATCTATTTCACACATGTAGTATATACATGTGTAATGCTTCCAAGGATCAGTATTCCAGTTTGGGAAAGACATAGGTATTTAAAGGCTCAGTTTTTGCCTGTTTATTGTCAGTTTGAAGCGAAGGAAGTGTGTTGCTTTTTCGGTGATATGGTTGATGTAGTAACCAAGATCTGAAGAGAAGGTAACGCCTACTATTTTGACTCTGGCTGTAGTCAAGATATATTGACATGCCAAAGCTACATTCAGAGATATATTTGTTCTTTTCTAGAAGGGGACATATTGCCCATACACAAAGTAGCACCATATTTTTAGACGTGAAGTACAATAGATGACTCACAGGCATTTGCCTTTTGTTCAATGAAATTATTAAAAATAGTTGGACTAATTTCATTGCAATGTTATAATTAAGAGTCTCACTTTTTAGAGATCTTAAAGATTTTTTTTGCATTTATCTGGATGAAATGATATTGACTCCGAACCGAATTCTACTCTGTTTAAATTTATGATACGGTCCAATCATTCGTAAAAGTTTTGGCAAAAGCACGTGCACAATTGACCAATCAATAGCCTTCTACATTGGGAGTGCGTACAAGATAATGAAACTACCATGCGCTTGATTCTGTGAAACACCTCAACACTCTGGGTCTTTCGTTTTGTTTACATATTAGCGCTCTTCAGGTAAGACGTTTCTTTCTGGAGGAAATAGACAAATAGTTTAAACAGACAGTGTAATATTATTAATAATTTCATCACTCCACCCACTTTGTGTAATGCAATTTCGGCCATATTTGATGTCCTATAGAGACAATAAAATGACCTGGCTACCACTAGGTATTACAGTGGCTATCGAATTATTGTGAAATATTTTAAGCTACATTTATTTATTTATCAAAAGAAATATTTTTTTCCAGGTTCAAGCACAGGCAATCGGTGCGTGGCTTGGATAGTATACATGTACATGACCACGCCCACTTATTTTTATGCCCCCGGGCATATAGTGATTGAACCGTCCGTCCGTCTGTCGTCAGAGGTTAACCTAGAACGGCAAGTTGGATTTTTCTTAAGTTCTACCTGTACCAATGGTTTCTAAGTTTACACACTTAAAATCAATACAAAGTACATGATCTGGGCAAGTTACATAAATCTGGCTTTCATATTTACCAAGTTATTGCCCTTTTCAGCACTAATAGAAAATGAATAATGGTTAACCTAAAACGGCAAGTTGGAAATATCTTAAGTTCTATCTATACTAATGGCTTTATAATTTCCACACTTATCAATACAAAGTACATGATATTGCCAAGTTATATTAACTGTGTCATCCATATTTCCCAGTTATTTCCCTTTTTTCACTTTGAAAATAGGGCCTTGTCTGGTTAAATTATTTCAGCAAGTTAGATTTATCTAAAATTTCTCGTAATTGCTTAATTTCTTTAATGATATCTTTCATATTTAGTAGGTGGATACCTTTGATGTTCCTCTAATTTTTTGTGGAGTAAGCGGTCTCTAGGGATGGAGTAAGGGGTCAGTTGGGTCAAGGTCATCAGTGCTAAAAATAGATTTTTACACTTTTGCCCATACAGCCTTTATTTATTGACAGATGTATTTCATATTTGGTAGGAAGATAACTTACATGGTATTCTTCTTTTGGATAGAGTCAGGATTCAGTTTGGTTAACTTGGTCACCAGTGCTCAAAATAGATTTTTACACTTTTGCCCATACAGCCTTTATTTAATGACAGATGTATTTCATATTTGGTAGGAAGATAACTTGCATGAAGTTGAATATTTTTTCAACTTCACAAGTCAGAGCAATGACTTGGCAACTTTTATTTTTCACAATTACAAAATGCCATGACTTTTGTCAAGCTATATAACTTGTGTTTACAATTTTTTGGCAATTTTTCTGTCCATAACTGAGTGAATGGGTAAACATTTTTTGAAAATATTGCTACTGACAAGAATCTGAGCCGGGGGGCATTTGTGTTTAACAAACACATTCTTGTTTATAAATATTTTTTTTTTCACTAATAAAATATTTTTTCATTCAAATTGTTTTTAAAATATCTTATTTTCAATAAATCAACAAAGGAAATTTGTTTTTAAACATTTCATCCATATATACTATAAATATAGTATATGTATTGTTTATCGAAATGGCCCGATAGATTATTTTGATCCGTTGTTTTGTTGAATTGTTCGGCGTAATTATGTTGGGGTGGGGAAAAGGCGTTTCATTCCTTGTGTTTATTTATACTGTATAGGGGGTATATTTTGGATATTATCATTAATATTGATAGAATTTCAAGTTTCTGTGATCACTGATTTCAAAGTGCTGCAACTTCTCAATGTATTGAGATAGAGTTAAAAGCTTGGTAATCTCCTTGATTTGACCCCCCCCCCCCGATGTATTTCAGTAGTAAAACTTGTATATAATACACTTAAGAAAACAGAATGATCCTAATATATACTCCTGGTTTAGACGGGGTCTAATCCAGGATATAGCCAAAAGCTTTACAGCGTTTGTTATCGCTTTTTTATCAACATTTCTCAAATGAAAAACTGTTTGGGCCTAAATAGGGCATTTGCCTCAAAAAGGGGGAGGGGGAAGTCAACAAAATACGTCTTTATGACATATAAGGTTAAAACATTGCTTTTTGTGCCCCCACTTTAGTGGCGGGCATTTAGATTTACCCTTGTCCGTCCTTCCGTCCGTCAGTTCTCTTTTGTGTTGCAAGTAACTCAAAAAGTATTTGACCTAGAGTCATGAAACTTTACAGGAATGTTGATCAGCATGTGTAGTTGTGCACCTGGGTATTTTTGTGTGGATCTATATAGTATTTTTTAGAGTTATTGCCTTGACTTAGTAAAATTTTGCAATTTTCAACTTGTGCGCATGTAACTCAAAAAAGAATTTGACCTAGAGTCATGAAACTTTACAGGAATGTTGATCAGCATATGTAGTTGTGCACCTGGGTATTTTTTGTGGATCTATATAGTATTTTTAGAGTTATTGCCCTTGACTTAGAAATTTTTTTGCAATTTTAACTTGTGTCGCATGTAACTCAAAAAGGATTTGACATAGAGTCATTAAACCTTACAGGAAGGTTGCTCTGCATATGTAGTTGTACACCTGGGTTGCACTTGTAGATTTATCTAGTATTTGTAGTTATTTCCCATGACTTAGTAAAATCCATTTCATTATGTTGTTATTTGTTCCTTGAGTGCTTGAGTTAGAATCAACCAACTTTACAGGAATAAATGATCAACATCACTAAATTACAGGAATAATGATCAACATCACTGTGAAGCCATGCACCTGGGACTTTGCATGTGGGATTTTTTTTCAGTTTTGTTAGAGTTATTGCCCTTGACTTACAGTAGTATAAATTTGCAATTTTCAAATTGTTCATGCATAGCTCAAAAAGTATTTGACTTGTAGGCCTGAAAGTTTACAAGAATGTTGGACAGCATGTGAACTTATGCACTTTGGGTTTGCCTTATGGATTTATTCAGTATTTTGTAAAGTTCTTGCCCTTTACTTAATAAAAAAGATTTTTAGTTTTCAACTTGTGGCACATGTAATCCAAAAAATATTTGACCTAGAGTCATAAGATTGACAGAACAGTGGCGTGTGGGGGCACCCGTGTCCTATGGACACATTTCTAGTTTGGTAATTAGTACAGCTTACATAGTAATTTAGTATGTTGTATGGAAGTCAAAGTACATATCGCTACTTATATCACAAATTATTTACATCCTCAGGTAAAAAACACCTAACCTGCTCTAAAACCATTATTTAAACATTGTAAAATTCATGTTTGCTCTTTGGAATGAAGTATTTGTTACTGATGCATATGCATAATGACTTATAGTACATTTGATTTGGGATACGTCTTGGGAATATAAAATTTTCTGAGGTAATTACTGATGATATTAAAAATCTGTTAAAAGCTTAAGTTTTATATACCAAATGGAAGCTTATTAATTAAATAATTTTTTTACATGTGTAACAACAAGTTATGAGAAATTAAACACTTAGAGAATGGCACCATGCTTGACATGTATTGTTAGTGGCAATTTATGATAATTGCTTAATTACCAAGGCTGGCCAAATCTGATTGTGACTTTCTTGTCAGTTTTTATCTAAAGCATTTCTTAACTTGTTTGTATATTTATTTAGTAAATTCCTGAAAATTTCCACTTGTCTGAACAGGTTGTGGGACAAGCTGGGCAATATTGACAATTATTTTGCTACCCCTATCTTCAAAACTACTCAAGGTATTCACTTGAAACTTATTACTTGTCTTGGGGGTAAATTATTTGATGTCACTATCCAAGGACCATAACTATCACTGTAAATGGATTTAGACTTATTTGTGGCACTTTGTGAACTTACAAAATCTGTGATGCCATATAAGTCTTTCAAACTACATGTACTGATGGTATTCAACATGTCTTGACTTTTCAAGACCAGTAACTCTTGAAATAGACTTTTTGCATGGAATGTCAATCTTCTGAATCTTAATACTTAACTGGAGGGGGCTTTCCAAGGCCCATGACTCTTGACATAGATTTTGACTGAATTACAGTCCCTTTTGAAAATAGAATTTTGTGAATTAAAAAAATTCTTGGTTAATAAAGTTTTACATGCAACATCAATCTTTTAAACTAGTGAAGGGATTCACTTGAAACTGAAAACATGTCTCCAGGATCACAACTATAATGTACTGATGAGAGTTTTTCATAAACATTTATTCATGTCATACAGATTATAACTGAAGGTTTAAATTTCAAAGACCAAAAACTCTTGATATGGATTTTTTATCTTCAAAACTACTGAAGGTATTCACTTGAATTTTAAGATATTAATCATGGCTATAATTGCAGGATATAATCTGGGAGGAAAATTTTATGGGGAAGTGACATCCTTGCAAAAAATGTGGGAGAAGGGAGACAACCCAATGTGAGCATTAACATTCCGTGGCTATACATCTTATTTTTATGTAAACACAATAAATAACACTCATTTCTATTGTTTATTAGCTCACCTGTCACAAAGTGACATTGTGAGCTTTTATGATCGCTTTTCGTCTGTTGTCCGTCCGTCCCTAAACTTTTACAACATCTCCTCGTAAACCGCTAAGCCAGTTTCATCCAAACTTCACAAGAATGTTTCTTCAGGAATGGCAGTCAACTTTTAAAAATTGTTCAAATAATTTAATTCTATGAAGAACTCTGGTTCAAGCCAAAAGGAAAAACTTAAAATATGTTCTTAAAAAAACCCAAAAAAAACCAAAGAGCTAAAGCTTAGGTATTTGGCATATAACATCTTATAGTGAATGTCTACCAAGTTGTTCAAATAAAAGCCCTGGGGGTCAAAATTGGCCCTGCCCCAGGTGTGTCATTGTTTTTAACTATATGTGTAAAGAAAAAACTTAAAACAATCTTCTTTTAAAAATCCCAACGAGCTAGACCTAATAGATGTTTAGCATGAAACATCTTCTAATGGTTGTCTACCAAGTTTGTTCAAATAAAAGCCCCGGGCTTTAAACTGGCCCCGCTCCGGGGGCCTATGTACAGGTGAGAGACTTCAGGGCCATCATGGCACTCTTGTCCCTATATGTACCCATCATTTGGAACTGTTGTTTTCCCTTAGCAGTAGCAACCAGTAATGTTTTTACACATGCATTATTTCAGATACAAATAATGAACTTTATGATATCAGTTTAAGATTAAGGTTTAACATCTGCTTTTTTTAGCTCACCTGTCACAAAGTGACAGGGTGAGCTTTTGTGATCGCTTTTCGTCCGGCGTCCGTCCATCGTCCGTCCGTCCGGCGTCCGTAAACTTACTTTAAATGACATCTCCTCATAAACCACTAAGCCAATTTCATCCAAACTTCACAGGAATGTTCCTTTGGTGGTCACCTTTGAAAATTGTTCAAAGAATTTAATTCCATGCAGAACTCTGGTTGCCATGGCAACCAAAAGAAAAAACTTTAAATATCTTCTTCTAGAAAACCCAAAGAGCTAGAGCTTAGATATTTGGCATGAAACATCTTCTAGTGAGTGTCTACCAAGTTTGTTCAAATAAAAGCCCTGGGGTCAAAATTGGCCCCGCCCCAGGGGGTCATTGATTTTCCCTATATGCATATAGTAAAAACTTTAAAAAATCTTCTTTTAAAGAACCCAAAGAGCTAGAGCTAAGGTATTTAGCATGAAACATGTTCTAATGGGTGTCTACCAAGTTTGTTCAAATAAAAGCCCTGGGGTTCAAAATTGGCCCCGCCTGAGGGGGTCATTGATTTTCCCTATATGCATATAGTAAAAACTTAAAAAATCTTCTTTTAAAGAACCCAAAGAGCTAGAGCTAAGATATTTAGCATGAAACATGTTCTAATGGATTTCTACCAAGTTTGTTCAAATGAGAGCCCTGGGGTCAAAATTTGCCCCGCCCCGGGGGTCATTGATTTTCCTTATATGTGTATAGCAAAAACTTAAAAAAAACTTTTTGAAAAAAAAACCAAATAGCTAGAGTTTAAATACTAAGCATGAAACATCTTCTAGTAAGTGTCTACCAAGTTTGTTCAAATAAAAGCCCTGGGGTCAAAATTGGCCCCGCCCTGGGGGTCATTCATTTTCCTTATATGTGTATAGCAGAAACTTAAGTGTGTACTTCTAGATAAGATGTTCCAGTACAGAAATAGTTATATGTCATCAACAAATATATCTGTAAAAATTTCTTTTAGTTCCTTAGGAAGATCATTAATATATATTGGAAATAAAAGTGGGCCCAGTACAGTCTCCTTGGGGAACTCCTGATTTTACAAGTCTAAGTTCTGAAAGTTTTCCTGATACAGATCTGTTTTGAAGCCCATCCTGTAGGCAGGACTTGAACCACTTTTTTCTTGTATTGCTGATATTAAGTATCTGAAGTTTCTGAATAAGAATGGAGTGATCTACTAGGGGACAAGGACTTTCATAGTGTCTGTAACTTCTGAATTAGTAATTCTCAACAACAGAAAATATGTTAAAATGGGAAGAGCAAATTTATCATTGATGCTGGTTTTTTTGGACATAAATATAAACATCAGGAGCATAATTATCCAATATATCATTCATTATCATCTTCTGAGTCACTTTCAAATCCTTCAAACTCTATGTTCTCTGCTATACCCAGCTTGACTGTTGTACTGTTAGACTCTTTTATTGGTCTAGAATAAGTGATGGAAACTGTCCTTCTCAATAATGAACTCATCAAGTATGCTGACAAAGACACCACTGACTTTCAATAGATCACATTAACTGTCACAAATACCATTTGCTTCTTCAGTATTTGAAAATCAGATTTTGTTTTCTTCAAAATACCTGTATTTTATTATTTTCTTGTAGCCATAGATGTGTTGTTTTAACAAGGTACTTTGAAAAGATACAACCATGCAAGGTGTACTACAAACAGTTAAATGATTGACTCAAGAGTAAAGGTCTGAATTAAAGTTAAATATTTTAGAACAGACATAGGTATATTGGATCTTATAAGATGCAATTTCATATCAACTTTGATGGAACAGGTTCATCAAAATGTTATAAGGCCAGCCTTTTATAATATCTACATATTTGAATATTGATACAAATATGTACAAATAGCCACATTCATTTACAACCTGTTTTAAACAAAGGAATTCGGCGCATTGATTGCTCACTGATCAATCTCAATTTCACAGTCTGAAGCATCATTCTGATATGCCTGTTTGTAAGACTCAACGAGATTCTTTTCCCATTCATCACTATTGTCTTCAGTAGGACAGTCTATTTCCATATCATTAAAGTCATAAGCACGTAGCTGAAAAAAATGCTGATATCATTCTTGATTCTTCCTGTGTGTTTTTCCACAGTGACCCTTCACACATTCATTAATTTAAAGTTATCCAGGCACCCAACGAAATTCACATTACTGTGTTCCAACACAACTCTTTCAAATCTTTCTACTTCTGGATTTGGCAGTCCTATAAGTAAAGATTCCGTTATTGTATAATGTGCATTTATTTAAAAACTTTTCCCTTGCTTAAAATCAATGTGATTTTTGTAACACAACTCTTTCAAATCTTTTTATTTCTGGATTTTGCAATCCTAAATGTAAAGTTCAAGTTATTGCATAATGTGCATTTTATTTCACAAAGAAACAACTTTTCCCTTGCTAAAAATGAATGTGATTTTCGTAACACCACAACTCTTTCCAATCTTTCTTTCTCCGGATTTCGTCGTCCTAAAGGTAAAGTTTCCATTATTGCATATTAACTGTGGATTTATCTCACAAAAGAAACAACTTTTGCCTTGCTTTATATCAATATGATTTTCATAAATATGGTTGTTTATTATCATTCTTAAATACTATCAAAATCATATTCATGCATCTCTTTGAAACTACAGTGGTTGTTGTTTAAACGAATAATTCTTTTCCCATTCATCACTATTGTCTTCAGTAGGACAGTCTATTTCCATATCATTAAATTTTATTCTACATATTTAGCTGAATAAAAATGCCGTTATCACTCTTCCTGTGCGTTTTTCTTAAAAGAGACGCACATGCACTAATTTAAAGTTATCTAGGAGCCCAACAAAATGCACAAAACTGTGTTCTAACACAATTCTTTGGAATCTTTCAACTTCTGGATTTAGCAGTTCTAAACAGAAAGTTTCCATTATTGCATATGTCAACAGCAACTTACCTCGTTTTTGAAATTCTTACTCTCAATTTTCTTTAAAAATTATTTTTTTTATATTTTTTTGTTTTTGGGCATGAGGAATCCGAATATGAAAATTAAATTTTTTAAAGAAAAGTTTTTGGTGTCCCGGTATGAAAAATGCGGAATCGGGGTGAGGGCTCTTAATAATAGAGCTCTCAAATCTAATATGTCATAAAAAAAATTGCTCATACAATTTTCAAAAAATTTTATGTGGAGATATGTCTAATTAATCTTTGTGTGCATGCAAAATTTTATTAAAATATTCTTATAATTACAGAAAATATCGCCGGTAGAAGTTTTTCATCAGGTATTCGAAATTCGCCTCGGGTATGGATCAGTCGTGAATCCGCCAAAAAAATGTAATAAAATACAATAAAAATGGTATGGTTGTATTCATTTTAGATTTATCTATCGTTTTGTAATATTTTTTCTCCAATACAAGCCTTAGTTTGAGCTGTAAGGCCGAAAAATGAGAAAAAAAGAACCAAAAATGACCATCCGGCCCGGGGGTGGGGGTAACATAATTGTAAAATCTGGCTACAAATCAAAATTTATTAATGAAAATATACGTTTTCATTTAGGCAACTGAAATACCTTCAATTTGATGTATAAAAATTAGATTATTACTCAAGAATAAACTTGTAATGTTAAAAATATTGACGTTAAATTTCTGAAACTCCAAAATATTGCAACGAAAAAAAGGTTCGGGGGAAAGATATTTCAAATTATTCACCCCATTCAGAAAATGATATAAAAAACTTTTCATAAACGTAAATATATTAAACATGGGCATGTTTTAAGACTTTTTTCAAAGAAATCTAATGAAAAATAAAAACTTTACATGCAAAAAATATGGGTAAAAATCTTCAAACTCTTCAAAAAAGACGGAAATTCTGGTAGGGGGGTAGGTTTTCGGGGTATAGCTTTGGCATTCTTTGTTTGATATTAAAGGAACGTACATCAATGTTTACAGAATATCCAGACACACATTTTAAGCCTAATTTTGTCAAGATAGGATGCCGTTTGATAGAATTATGTCCAAGAAAAGGATGTAAAAAAAGAAAAATAGGCGAAAATTATGGTACACGGGTAGGATAATCATTTCATAATATCCGTTTTATTTGTAAAATAGTTTTAACAAACTTATCGCACATGTTAGTATATTAAACATGGGCACGTTTTAATTGTCCCCCGCCTTTTTGAAGAAAAAGGGGGATATCGAAATAGGCTCCGTCCGTCTGTTCGTCCGTCACACTTTCGTGTCCGGTCCATAACTTTGTCATTTATCAAATGAATTTGAAATAACTTGGCACAAATGTTTGTTATGATAAGACAATGTGTAATGCCCACCAACCAGACCCCTACCTCCAGCGTCAAGGTCGCAACATTGTCTATTTGAGGGTATATGTTGTGTTCGGTCTATATTTTTTAGCTCACCTGTCACAAAGTGACAGGGTGAGCTTTTGTGATCGCTTTTCGTCCGGCGTCCGTCCGTCCGGCCGTCCGTCCGTCCGGCGTCCGTCGTCCGTCCGTAAACTTTTACTTTAAATGACATCTCCTCATAAACCACTAAGCCAATTTCATCCAAACTTCACAGGAATGTTCCTTTGGTGGTCACCTTTAAAAATTGTTCAAAGAATTTAATTCCATGCAGAACTCTGGTTGCCATGGCAACCGAAAGAAAAAACTTTAAATATCTTCTTTTAAAAAACCATAAGAGCTAGAGCTTAGATATTTGGCATGAAACATCTTTATGCATATAGTAAAAGCTTATAAAATCTTCTTTTAAAGAACTCAAAGAGCTATGGCTAAGATATTGAGCATCAAACATTTTCTAATAGGTGTCTACCAAGTTTGTTCAAATAAAAGCCCTGGGGTCAAAATTGGCCCCGCCCCAGGGGGTCATTGATTTTCCCTATATGCATATAGTAAAAACTTAAAAAATCTACGTTTAAAGAACCAAAAGAGTTAGAGCTAAGATATTTAGCATGAAACATGTTCTAATAAGTGTCTACCAAGTTTGTTCAAATAAAAGCCCTGGGGTCAAAATTGGCCCCGCCCCGGGGGTCATTGATTTTCCCTATATGCATATAGTAAAAACTTAAAAAATCTTCTTTTAAAGAACTCAAAGAGCTATGGCTAAGATATTTAGCATCAAACATTTTCTAATAGGTGTCTACCAAGTTTGTTCAAATAAAAGCCCTGGGGTCAAAATTGGCACCGCCCCGGGGGTCATTGATTTTCCTTATGTGTATAGCAAAAACTTAAAAAATCTTCTTTGAAAAAACCCAAATAGCTAGAGTTAAGATATTAAGCATGAAACATCTTCTAGTGAGTGTCTACAAAGTTTGTTCAAATAAAAGAACTGGGGTCAAAATGGGCCCCGCCCCGGGGGTCATTGATTTTCTTTATATGTGTATAGCAAAAACTTAAAATCTTCTTTGAAAAAACCCAAATAGCTAGAGTTTAGATATTAAGCATGAAACATCTTCTAGTAAGTGTCTACAAAGTTTGTTCAAATAAAAGCCCTGGGGTCAAAACTGGCCCCGCCCCAGGGGTGTCATTGTTTTTAACTATATGTGTATAGTAAAAACTTTTAAAAAATCTTCTTTTAAAAAGCCCAATGAGCTAGAGCTTAGATGTTTAGCATGAAACATCTTCTTATGGGTGTCTACCAAGTTTGTGCAAATAAAAGCCCTTGGGTTAAATTGGCCCTGCAACGTTGGGGGGTGGGGGTTGGGTGGGCCTATATACAGGTGACCGACCTCAGGGCCATCATGGCCCTCTTGTTTTATCTTTGAAGGGATTTTGTAAATTCTTGCCACAATTGTTCACAATAATGAGACGATGTGTCATGAGCAACAATCGGTCGCCTACCTCCAAGGCCAAGGTAACACTGGAGGTCAAAGATTAACAGTCTGTTATAAGGTATATTTTGTGTCCGGTCCATAACTTTTTCATATTTCAAAGGATTTTGAAAATACTTTGCACAAATAGTCACTATAATAAGAGGATGTGTAATGCGCAACACCTGCATCCCTACCTCCAAGGTCAAGGTCACACTAAGATTACCTTACCAAGATGAATGAACAGATGATGGTTGTACAGATGAGAAGATACCCAACTAATTTTTTTTCGCAGCTTTATATATGGTCGACATACCGACATGACCTACTTTGACAAATTCGCTGAATGGTCGAGAAAAAAAATTAGACATTAATATAGTGTATTTGTCTAGTAATATATACAGATCAATGGCGGAATTATCTAGAGTTATAAATTATATATCAATACAAATAGAAATAGCATGTGCTTTTTCATTAAATATTAGAAAACAATATAAAAAAAATGGCCAAAATATATCATGCCGAACACGAGATATATAAGCTGATCTCTGATTGGTTGAGAGCACTTGTCTCCCATGTCGTCATTGGATTTACTATCCGATTTTGATTTCAAGCTCAAACTACTAAATACTATCCTACACATGAAATAGAAATAAAGGGATTATTCAATCCCTGTAGCATTATTTGGTAAAACAAATATTTATTAAATAACAATAGTAACTACACTACATCAGAATGGCTGTCAGACAGGTCTTGAAACAAAAGGAAGGACCCTATAACGCCCACAGGCTGTCCTGCGTCCCTAAAATTCCTAAAAAATCCTAATTTTTTTCAGTTTGGCTAAAATTCCTAAAAAAATGAAAAAATCAAAGGGAATTCCTAAAAAAGCCCTATTTTTTCACTTAAATTCCTATTTTTTTTTATCTTTTGTGATAAACATATCGCTAAACAACCATGTTTCAATCACACACAGTGGAGCTGATGTCATGTCTGACTTAATTGCATGAAGTCACATGTTGTATTTACTTCAACTCCTGCTGAAATGCTATATTTGATTGCCAGATGTTATCAGAAAAATTATAAGAAACTGTTTGTTTTAAATGGAACAATGAAAATTGTACAACTTTGACTGTATCAAAAAATTCACCTGTTAAAGTTACATTTTTATTTGCTACAGGGTTTTACAATTTACCTCAATCTTAGGTGTATTTAAAGCAATTTTTACATGATGTACCACTAAATTTCCTCAGACTTTCCTTATGTAGGGAAATCTTAATTTATAATCCAGTTATTTTCAATTGATGGCTGTAGAACAGATCTTTTGTAAGTGATACCAGCTGGCAGATCTAGACAAGTTTCCCAACTAGTATACTGAGAAGTGACACCTTCAGTTTCCCTTTTTGTACACATTAACATGTACTGAACATATGTTATAACATATAGTGTAAGTTTTTGAAAATCTGGAAAAAACTGTTGTGAAATTTTTCTACAATTTTTAGTAGCCTGATTTATCTTAAAACAAGTTCATCATAGATGTATACCCTGCTTTGAAATTAAGTTTAAGTATTCCTGGGAATGACTTGAGTGGGTCATATCATTTTTATTGTTTTTGGAGAAAGATCAAGACTTGTTGAAAATGTACCAACCTTAAAATGAGAAATGCATTTATAGCTAAAATAAATCTAAAGCATAATTTCCCCTTCCATTTAATATTGGCTAATCATAGCTTAACTAATTGAATATTGGTTGTTCCAGGATACTTATAACTTTGAAAATGTTTTCATTCTAGTTATGTTTTAATGTAGTTTTTTAGCTCTTTTTAAAGGCAGTTGACCAGTGAATCCATTTCTTCACTGGTGACTATGGAACACTGGTAACATCTTTGCTATAACCCAACTAGAGCATTATTTGTGAGTTACTTTTGTGTCAAATATGCAAAGTTGAGCCCATATCATGGTCTTTTGAGGCCATAATTTAGTTATAAAATTCCAAATTTAGCCCTAAAATTTCCTTTATTTACCCTAAAATTCCTAATTTTAGCCCTAAAATTTCTTTAAAATTGCCCTAAAATTTGCCCTTATTATACCCCCAAAAACGAAGTTTGGGGGGGTATATAGGAGTCACTCGGTGGTCGGTCGGTCGGTCGGGCGGTCGGTCGGTCGGTCGGTCGGTCCCAGACGTCCGTTGCATTTTTCCTTTGTCCGGAGCATAACTTGAAGACTAATGCTTGGAATTCAATATAACTACACACAATGGTCAAGCACATTGAGAGGAAGTGCAGTGCACAAGAACCATAACTCTATCTTGATTAATTACAGAGTTATTGCCCTTTGTTACTTTTCCTTGTCCGGGCATAACTTGAAAACTACTGGTTGGAATTCAAAACAACTTCACACAATTGTCAAACACAATAAGGGAAGTGCAGTGCATAAGAACCATAACTCTATCTAAAGTAATTACAGAGTTATTGCCCTTTGTTGCTTTTCCATTGCTTTTTTTTTCCGTTGCATTTACCTTGTCCGGAGCATAACTTGAAGACTAATGTTTGGAATTCAATATAA